GATCATGAACGTTATATTGATCAACGTGAACGATGGACACATGAAACAACTGATGAAAAGTTCAAACAAGCTGCTGTTACTTCTGAAGCCATATCAAGAATGTTTAGAATTTCTACTAATCTTCCTAATTCTACCCTGGAAACAAAAGATAAACCTCCTACTCAACGACCGGTGCAGAGAAAAAACAACAGAATAGGAGTATCACGAATAGATGAATAACAATAATTTTATTTATATAATTTATATTTATTAAAAAATATACTGATAAAATAAATCAAATTCCGTTGATAAAAATATGATCAACATATGCTTTATATTGACTTATTGTTCAAGGGCTGAGAATACTAAGAAATAGAACAATTAGTATAGATAATTATTGATCTAGAATATTGTCATTGTGAAAGAGTGTTTATCGGCAATCAGTATAAATGATATTACCTTCATGTGTTTATCAATATAAAAACGATAAAGAAAATAGCTTAGAGCCTTGACCATATCAGACTTTATTCGTATATATATATGAGCGTTGTCTCAAGCAATCTAATACTTAGCATATCTAGTATTTTATATACTCATCGATTAATAATGTGTATACCTGATGATTTTCTTTAGGTTGTGGTCAACATATAGCAGAAGTATTGAGTGATGTACCAGCTGAAAACCTATGTAAATGTCAAGAAAAGTTTGATTTTAAAATAGTTCAGTTATGTACATAGCTAGCTTGGAAATGTTTTATTATTATCTAGATATCAGCGTGTACGCGTAACGTGTGACATCAAAGATGGGAGTTCTCTATCACCACCATCTGAATCACGTCTCAGGTGTATCAAAACTTTTTGATTTTCGTTAGCACATATGATTAATCATATCTGTCATCTCTTAACACACATTTCTCTAGTCCGTAATATAAAATTATGTTGAATACCCGTCTAAACTATGTCAGTGCCACATCTCACAGATCGGATCAGTATAAAATAAATTGAAACCAGCTTCGACTGGGATAGAACGTGCTAGTAAATACCTTACTATATGAGGCAAAGTATTAAAATGAAATCTTGTTTTTCTTTAGCTTTATTTATGGTAAGCAACAACGTACAAAAACTTTAGCTGTGTCATCGCGTTACATCCATTCAAGCGATCTTCCATAGAGATGAAACATATATTTTGAAATTGTCTTTCTCGATTGAATACCCCAAAGTGTTAGCTATAAAATCTTAGTGAAACGTAGTTTTTAATATAGGATATATTAGTCGAATGGAGAAGAACAATCACCTCACTCTCAATTTGTCAGTCCTTTTTCGTCATCGCGTTTTGCTCAGTATTCTTAATTTGATATCCTTACAACTCATCCAAACAAACTCATATTTTCAGAGATTGTTAGGAAGGCCGAAGTCTATCTTCTAACGAAAGAGCGAGCTTTCTAGCTCATATATGGAAGCAGAAAAACTAATAAGAAAGTGGGACCACGTCATCGCGTCACTCACGTACGAGCTGATATATAAAGAGGAATGTCTGTCCGCTATGTATTCAGTCCCTGTTATAGCTACGATCACCAAACTTTTCACAATGCTTCGTCAGGTCCCAAGGATGGCAGACGAAGGGTTGGCATAGTCATCAGGGGTGGTGGGGAAGGGTATGGGTGTAATTTTACCCAGGTAGTCTTGTGATAGCTAAGATTATTAAAAATTGCACAGAGCTTCCCTAGATCCCAGAGAAGATCGACAGGGGTTTCGCATGGCTATCCGAGGAGTGAGGAGGGGTGCGTGGGTGAAATTTCACCCATGTGGTTCTGTGATAGCTAACGTCACCAAACCGTCTATGACACTTCTGTATAAACACGGAAAAGTGGAGAGGGGACCGGATACGAAAGGAGTTTGAAACTTAATTATTTTGCAGCAGGAACTGTACAAGAGAGTTTTTGCAACGGGAGCTGTACGAAAAGATTTTGCAGTGGGAACTGTAACAAAACGGGCGAATTTCTAATGCTACAAAGTGTACGTTGTTGTATCTCAGATATGCGTGGTGGGATATGTTGTGGTCGTAGAAGAAAAATTTCGAACACAATCCTTTTTGATTTCCGTACCGATTTCTGGCATGCGAAAGTTTTGGATTGATTGGTTTTGGACCAGCAGCGAGTACCTCCGCTAGTTAAATATCTGTGATAAAAATTTCTTTTATTTTAATTGCATTTTTTTCTTTATATTTTATCTTCTGTATCAGACATATTAAAAAATTACTCATTCTTCAGCATCATTTCATTTTACCATTTTCTTTCACATTATAAATGCCGTTGCTGAGTAACTGAATATAAAATGCCGATAGCAATTGAACAAAAACGAAAAGAAGAAGAAGAAAAAAAAAATGTAAGTTTATTCTTTTATTCGTGTTGATTCTATCATTGATTATTCTGCACATTCGGAGAGCAAAACTCAAATACGAAAGAAAAAAATTCATGTTTATGATGGTATGTTGTTGTTAAGAGTACTTAGTGATGCAAACGTATCAACAACATTTCTGAAAATTCAAATGACGACAGTACATTGAATAGACGAAATAGGTGCATAATGTTTCATGCAGTTCGACTATCACCATTAACGCCGAAATGTAGTGAGTATAGAACTTACTTTTCTCAGATATACAAAGGAAGAATACTTTTTGTTCATTGACTTCATATACAAAATACAAAAAAAACAAATTTTTCAGGATGAAGAGGTTGGTATTCGTTTTTTGATGAGATCATAGTATTAATAAATATTTATTAGTCATACATGAAATACTTTGATTTATATAATACAGTTAATATCAAATATTTGTTCACAAAACAACAGAAACAGTTTTTTAAATAAATTTTTATAGAAGCGCCGCATAATAATCTTTCGAATCCTAATGAAGATTTTGATTCCATAAACGACAATGACCGATGGCAGTCTATTGTGGCTACATCCAGTCTACAGTCAAATTCGTCACAAATAGATTACATTCTAGTATATAATCGTGATGATAATTCTAAGAATGATGAAGGTAGTTATAATAATGGTGAAAATCGCACGAGTCCTTCGAAAAAAAGAAGAGACTTTGAAGATTATCTTAAAAGCATACATTGTCTTACTCTTCGAAGAGTCGTACGTATAATTAATAGAACGAAAAATAAATGAATTTTTGATTATTTACTAATAGAAATCCTCATCGAAGAAAAAGATGTATGTTAAAGTTCATATGCCATTCGAGATGCTTTTATCAACTGCTGAACACATACGAATGAGATTGCCCATTGAAGTGAGAAGCACTAGAAACATATACTTTTATTTATTTTTAATACATATTTTTATAGAAAATTGAAGAAAATAAAGATAATGCATTAGAACCTAATAAATCATGTTGGAATCGTTTTACAACTTCATTAAAAAGACCATTTCGTCTTGATCTATCATTATCAAAACAAGATCTTGATCATTATACAGCTATATATTCATCTAATAATCCTAACTTTGAACATTTATTTGCAACATTACGTGGTTCACAAGATTTATATTTTACACCCAGTGAACGAATTTTATTGACATATGAATTATTAGCAAGAGCTCATCCTGTTGATCATGACAAAGATCTTCCACAAGAAGGTACGATTGGACAACTAAGTTATTAAAGTTTTAAAATAAATTCATATATAATTTATTTTACTATTTAGAGAACACTACCCGTGTTCCACCACGGAATGGTCAAAAACGATCCGGTATGATTTTATCGTTCATTTAATCAGTCGAATACGATATAGATATATTTGTCACGGGAATTTGATGTAATAGTTCGAACAATACGGCTGTATAAGTAGCCAGCAGCGATAATCACAGTATTTTTAAAGTCTACTGACTGATCCACAATATGAGCTATCACCGTTTATTTGTACATTAAGACGTATTATATTCAACTTAGAATTTCCACTTACGAGGGAAGGTCCCCAAGTGTGAATCGCCGTTTTGAATCGGAGGTATACCAACTGATAGAGCTCAATGAGACTATCAAAAGTCTAGAAGGGTTCGTGCCCATACTCGGCGCTTCTTGAGTTTTGGCCGTTTTATTGGATTTTTGACCCCTGACGATGTATATATGAAGCAACCAAAGCTAAGCATTTTCCAGCTGAAATTGTTACCATAGATAGCTCTCATAGCCATTAGAATGTCCTAAAAATTTCAGCCCGAAATAATGTTTCCTTCTTGAGATATTGAATATCTGAAAAACGATCATGTGCCACAAGCAAAGGTCAGAAAATCGGGTGACTTCAATGCTGAATATCTCAAGAAGGAAACATTATTTTGGGCTGAAATTTTTAGGACATTCTAATGGCTATGAGAGCTATCTATGGTAACAATTTCAGCTGGAAAATGCTTAGTTTTGGTTGCTTCATATATACATCGTCAGGGGTCAAAAATCCAATAAAACGGCCAAAACTCAAGAAGCGCCGAGTATGGGCACGAACCCTTCTAGACTTTTGATAGTCTCATTGAGCTCTATCAGTTGGTATACCTCCGATTCAAAACGGCGATTCACACTTGGGGACCTTCCCTCGTTAGTATCAATTTACGAAATGAGGATGTTTAGTTACAGAAATTTTATTTACTAAGAATTAGATAATAATTATTAACTTTTGTATTATATTTAAATTTTAGGAATTGGCCGATTAATAACTGAAAAAGCGTACGAAAGTTATTTTCCTTTGCATGAAGTAAATAATTTAATTTTCTTTTTTAAAGTATAACTCCAATTTTGTCTCATATATTTAAGCCTTTACGAGATGATGTCAGACATATTGATGATGATGGTTTAAATGATCGAGAAGTAAGTTTAGTCGGTTATGATTTAAAAGCTATCAACTATTTTTCGAAAAAAGAAATTAAGAAAGCACTGGGCAACAATGCGTCGATGTTTTAAATTTCAACCATTATCTCTAATTCGTTCATATATGGGTGAAAAAATCGCATTTTATTTTGTATTAACTGGCTTTTATAATCAAATGCTTATTCTACCTGCATTAGTCGGTCTAATTATATTTATATATGGTGCAGCATCTGTCTTTACTGATACACCAACGTTAGTTCATTTGAATACTAAAAAACAGACAACTAATTCTATGTTTTACTTCTAGATCTGATATATGTGGAAGTTATGGACAAAGTACATACATGTGTCCACGATGTGATCTAAGTTGTCCATTCTGGAAACTAAGTGAAAGTTGTGTTTATTCAAAAGTATTTATTAAATTTTTTTTCTAAACAAATAGCATGCTGTTATAGATTTCATATGTATTTGACAATATAGCAACCGTTATTTTCGCTATATTCATGTCTTTATGGGCAAGGTATGAAATAAGAAAAATGATTTAAATAAATTTGATGATTTTGTTTTCTTGATAATCATTAAAAAAAGATTGTTTGTTGAATTTTGGAAACGTCGTGAAGCAGTATTACGTTATGAATGGGTAAAGAATTGCTAAAAATATAATTTAATATTTCAATTATCGTAAAGGATTCAATCGATTTTGTTTCAATTCTTGAACCTATACGACCAGCATATGAGAGTAAAGCAGAACCAGATGATCAACGTATGAATCCTGTTACAGAAGTATCTATTCTTTTTTAATATGATTCATTACATAAATATTGATGTATTTATCTAGATAAATGAGCCATATATACCTGCTAAAAAACGGATACGATGGTTTATACTTTCAGTTCTTGTTGTTATAGTTACTGTAATTCAAAATTCAAAATTCAAATATATTCATGATATTATTTAATTAATTATTTAGGTAGCAATTGTATGTGGAACCGTTTTTTGTACAGTTGTTTATCGTATTCAGATGGATTATCTTTTGAAAAGTACATCGGTGAAAACATATTCTTCAATCATAATAACTGTAACAAGTGCTGTTATGAATCTTATTTGTTCACTAATATTATCATTATTATATCGTTGGGTTGCTCGCAAACTAACTCACTTAGGTACGAAAATGTTTTTGCCTTTTTAAACATAAAAAACTGTCTTCATTTATTTCATAGAACTTCATAAATATCAATCTACATATAATAATTCATTCATAATAAAAATGTATCTTTTTCAATTTGCTAGCTTTTATGCTTCATTATTTTATATTGCTTTTTTCAAAGGAAGGTAACGAAAACAAATTATTTATAAAGATTGTTTACATATATACACTTTAGATCTACTGAATATCCATCGAACTATGGTGAACCGGGTACTGGAGACTTTACAGAGCAGGTTTGAATATTCAAAAAAATTGAAAGCAACAGAATTGTTTATATGTTAATATTTTTAGTGTGATCCTGCTGGTTGTTTAGTTGAACTTTCTATTCAGTTATTAATTAGTAAAACTAGATAACTATAATTTATAAATCAAAGAAACTTTATTATTAAATTTAGTTATGAGCGGTATGCAAATTATAAATAATGTATGGGAATTTACATCTCAAATGGGTCCTACATGTACACGTCTATTCTATAGATGTACACTTTTTTGTTTTAAGTGGGGTAAAAATGATGAAGAAGTACAATGGGAAAAAGATCATAAATTAAAAAGCTTCAGTTCACTTGGATTAATTGATGAATATCTTGAATTAGGTAAAATTATATGCTTCTATGAAATTCGATTTATTATAATGAGAATCAGACGATTTTTGTAAATCGTATAAATATTATAATAGACTGATTGGAATCACTCAGAATCACCTATTTTTCTCTTAAGTTAACGATATTTTTATTTAGTTATTCAGTTTGGCTTTGTTACATTATTTGCTGTTGCTTTTCCGTAAGTTACACTTTCTTTTTCTTTTTTTATATCAATCACGATCTAAATTCATATATCACCTACTTAGATTAGCACCATTGTTTGCATTGGCTAATAATATAGTTGAGTTACGTTTGGATGCATGGAAGCTCCTAACGAGATATAAACGACCTGTTCCATTTAAAGCAGCTGATATTGGTATTTGGAGTGACATTTTCTCTGGTGTATCATATCTTGCCGTATTAACTAATGTAAATATGAATATTAAAAAACTAAAAATATCTAAAAAGTATATATAAATATAAATATGTCTAGGCAATAGTAATTGCTTGGACATCGGAGTTTATTCCGAAAATGGCATACCGTATTTTACAGTCAACAGGATCAAGTCTTAGTGGTTATGTTGATTGGACATTAACATCAATTTCAATTGCAGATTATAATAGCACCGGTAGAATGCCTCCTGATGTACCAAGTGGTGTTACATATTGTCGGTAAAATAAAATCTTTTAAAGATGTGTCTTCTTTTTTTTCTAAGAATTTTATTTTTAGTTATCGTGATTTTCGTAGTTCTGCAGCACCATATTCAGAATCGTTGATTTATTGGAATGTACTTGCTGCTCGTCTAGCATTTATTATTGTTT